CACCGTATGCCACACAGCTGTAATCGAAGAGGGTAAGTAGAAGGGAAGATACAAGGAGTTTGCGGGTGGAGAAAGGTAAGAGAAGCCAGGAACGACGAAATAAGCTGAGGGAGGCCATTTGCCAATTACAATTACAATACAAGAAGAACATTACTGGCAAAAGATTGGGAGAAAACTTGCTGGACTTGGGGATTAGAGTGGGATTAAAGGTTAGTGGGGACTTTTTGTACCTACATTTTGCAATTTCATTTAAAAAGTGAATATTTAGGTAGTTATGGATGGTGCGGATAAAAACATAGAAAGGTGCATTGAAGGTGCATTTATGGATTCGTGATTGTAAGATCTGGATTCTGGGGAGAGTGGAAGGTTTGTTTCAACCTCACAATTCTATGCGTTATGTCCATATTGTTTCACTGTTGAGTTGTATATGAGTATTTTGTTGTCAAGGAAAAATTTAGATCTGTAATATAGTGTGTTTTTTAAGTGATACGTATCATCTGGTTCAGTTCTAACCTTCTGAGTCGAATATGAGGATTTCTGGTGAGTCGTTTGTCTTGATACAGCCCTGGGTAGGGTATGACATGATGAGAAGAGGTGATGCTAATAGACTGGCAGTAGAGTGATGCGACGGTGGGTTAAGGTTATGCTTTTGGTCTTCGTCTTGGTTAGTTTGGCTCGCCATTTTTTGAACCATTGTTCCACGGAGGATAGATGAGTCTGGTGAGCTATGCCTGGGTCGGAAGTAGAGGATAGAATGACAGTGTCATCAGCGTATGTTAGTATATTGGTTGGGAAGGGATATCAGCAGTATATCTGAGTACAGTAGTGGCTCGAGGACCAGCCATGGTACCCCGAAGGTCCGCGTCCATCATGTATAATGGAGAGCGTAACTGTTAGGTACGTGTCGGCCAGGTAGAATTAAAGGATGATAGAATCTGTAGAGGGTATGATGCCGTTGAAGTGCTAGAGCTTATTAAGCATTCGATGGAATTCAACTTTAAACAATTTCTCTGATCAGTTTTATTTACCATGAATGCATATCCATATCGAAATAGAATTATTATTAAAGTATCAGACAGTCTGACATAAATGAGCATGGTTGCATTAATTAATAAATTAACAGGTTTCGTCAAAGCATATTTTAACCGTTAAAAAAGAGAAGAACAAAATGATATATTAAAAATACATAATCTGATTTTATGTATTAAACATTTATTCCTTTTTTTGATGGTTTTATGGTTGAAATATTAAAAAACTATTAAAAGTCATAATTATGTAAGAAAATAATTGTCGCTGATTGAATCACAATATAGTAGTTAAAAAAAACTTGCTTTATTTAACACGGAATTCTACTTTATAAAAAATCTTTTTCATGCGAGACCCGCGAAAGTTGTAGGTTTGGAATAATAATTTACGGCTTCTTTCCTCGGATTTATTTATGTCCGAACTTGAGTTCCCTGCTGCTCGGTTTCAAAGGAATTTAGTATAGAAGCCAAATAAAAACAAGATTTTCTTTTTTGTTCTGATTATATTTCAAGACGTGTAAACGTTATAGAAAAACTTTTTATGTTCAAAGGTATTCAAATCCGATGTGATTGATGTATACAAATCAACATATATTTTTTTTAAATCACAACGTAAATAAAAATTCAAATGACTGGAATAGTCCTCAAACATAACACCTGTATGTAAACATCACACACAATTTCTAACTATCCTAAACATTCTCTTTTTAAATGAAATAGCAAAATCCGGCTTCAAAAAATTCCGAACTTACCTTCAATCCCACCCAAATCCCATGCCCATCAACTTTTCTCCTGATGTCTTTCTAGCAATCCTTTTCGACGTCTGAAAAAGTAGTGGCTTCATGACCTGCTCTCAGAGAGTGGGAGTGATGATTCCTCATTTAGGAGTGCTCACTGGATAGCTTCTCCACTTTATTTATTTTTTTGTTACCTCGTTAAAAATTAGCTTTTTGCGCTTCGAGCAAATCGTTGCTCTATTACTCAATTTATAAAGATTAAATGTTTAATATTATAATTATTGAGAAGAAAATTAAACAATATGTTCTCAATAAATAAATGATCAAAATGGTGCATTATGCATCTGTTACATATCTCCTGGCATTATTTATGCTCCCGGACCCTGAAATTAGTCCCCTCTAAAGCAAGCATTCATGACAATCGCTCAAATATTCATGACAGGGGGTATCTAACAGCGCTGACTAAATGAAATTACTCACACTGTTTGAAATTACAATACTAAACCTCAAGTTAAATTGAGTTACAGAATTAGAACGTAATCCGCCAGGTGACACGGCTTCATTATTCAAACTGAACGGTGACTTAGCCAGCCGTTTGTTGTCTTGCCCGATAAAAGAACAAACGATTAGCGACGTTTTGTACTGACAAAAATTGGGGTTTAATATTTTTTGCAGCGTTGTTGTTTATCGTCCTTTAACAAGTAAATACAGGGTGTCCTTTTTAGATGGCCCGGCTGAATTCCTCTTGCACCAATGACGCTATATATATATATATTATAAAGTCAAATTTCTCCCTTTTTTGGTGTGACGTCGGGCATTCAACGGCACGACAAACAAACATCCAACACTTCTTAACCGGGGATAATGATGGGTACTGGGAAATTAAAATGAAACAAATAAAACACACTCGCTAAAATAAACCAACTAAAACATAATGTATTTACAAGACATAAATATATATATATATACAATTTAAACCAAAGTTACTACAAACGAAACCAAGACGTTCCCTAATTCCAGCCTACAACCACGTTACAGTGTAATCGCCCAACTCACCCTGTGGTAACCCAATTATGGTATTTTACGCTTAAGCAATCGTTGACGAGTCTGGAACACACCTGACCTCTCTTCTCCAGCTCCAGTCCAACATCTCCTCTCCTTTGACCTTCCCCCACCCAGCATTCCAACGCGCCCCATTACACAAACAGTGTCATTCTCAAAATGTGAGGGTGACACTACCTCCCTCTCAAGAGCCGCAAACGCCCCTTGGAGTTTGCGGGGTATTCCCACACCTGGAGAAAGGTCATTGCCGTGGTCGAGGTGCAGGTGCTGCTGTTTTAACTTCTTTCTTCACCTCTGTCTTTGGTGCTGGTTTTGCGGCAACAGTACTGGCCACCTTAGGTTTAGCCGCAGCAGGGGTGGCAGTTTTTGTCAGAAGGGCTTTTGTTGTCCCAGTGACAGATGTCTTAGTAACGGCAGATTTCACACTACCAGCCGGGTTTGTGGGCGCCTTTGATGTAGGTGTACTTGGTTTGCTGGGAGGCTTTGACAGGGCAGCCTTTGGCGTGGGTGTGGTCGGTTTGGGAGTGGAGATGTTTTATTTATTTATTTATTTTAATTAACGCATTTAATGGTTACCACAAGAGTGAGAGGCCATATGAAAATAAATGAACTCCGTGCCAAATGAAGATAATGATTAAATTAAAATCTTTATTTATATTCTCGAGCCGAGTCCTGTTAGTGGCCCATGTAGTTGTGATAGTTTTGGAGGCTCCTCCTCTCTCTTTCTGGGAGTCCAGCCCGTAGATAGCTTGCCACGTTGATTCCAGCGTCTGTGATCGGAAGAAAACGAGTATGCGTGGACGGTGATGTGGTGTGCTTCAGACATAATATGTAACACATATGTGTAAGACATAAAAATTATATAGGTCACCTCAAGACCAGTTTAACTTCAAAATTTCAAATACGACTCGACATATACTGACACATCATTTTTATGCTCCAAACAATAGTGCAATCGGATTTTAAATTGGACAAAAATTACGAAGTTTTGCCAAAACAAAGGGTTTGACTTTATTGTTTACTTTCTGTCATTGTATGTCAAAGTTGCATCATGAGAGCAAATCCTAATTCCTGAAGTAAATAAATTTTACGATAGTACCTAATCATTACATTCAGTATTCCATTCAAAATGAACCAAAAAGCACATTTTTCCGACCAACAGCAAGTTCATAGGTACGATTGCTTTATTGTGGTCGTATTGTGCGTCATGCAGTCGATTTGTACTCCTAATCAGTCTAAAATCAGATTTTTTTTCTCATAAATTCTTAATTTCTCAACTTTGGAAGTGTTAAAATACAAATCTGACATTTATTTCGCAAACTCATATAAATTTTCCGTAATATAACAACAGTTCCGTTGAAATATTTGTGCTTTCGAAAACACAGTCGCCGCCCAAAGAATAACAAATGGCAAAACCCACGTTTTTTTGGAAATAATGGACTCGTGGAATAATCTTTTCATCAAAATCTTTGGGTATTTCTTTTGGGTAAGGACTACTCACTTATAATTTTGTTAGAACTTTTCTTATTAAAACCTTTGCATGGCTGAAATACGTGATATTGAACCCAGGATAGCAGCAACATAAGAACATCGTATATGTCATATTTTTAATGAAACATTATTAGTTGGTAACAAAAATTAGATCCATTTATCTTACTTCTTTCCTTCATGTCATTGCACATGATTTCAATTTTCTCTATGAGCTGTTCCTTCGTTTCGCTGGGTGTACTGTACACTGCACTTTTCAGAGTTCCCAGTATATATCCCCACGACCACTTGAGCTATCGTGACTTCGATCCTCTCGGACACCAACTCCCATCCCAACCTACAGCCTTTCGAATTTTCCTTCCTTTTTGCCATTTTTCTAACATTCGAAAGGTTGTAGGTTGGGATGGGGAGTTGGTGTCGGAGTGGATCGAAGTCACGAATCGAGTGGTGGAGCAGCGGCGTATTTAGCCGAAGGTCGTGGGTTCGAATCCCGCTCGTGACACTGGCTTTTTTATCTCAACCAATACCTTACATAAAGATTAAATACTATTTAACGTTCAAACATTGCTAAGATGCTAATAAAAGCATTTTTGACCATTATACTGTTTTGCGATTGTACGAATGTAAAAGAACTATGTGTCAAATATTCTATTTGTTTTACCAAATTTATTATCATATAAATCTAGCTACGAGTTTTGTTGAATTTAGTTGGATTTGCCTTGTTTTGGTTTTTCAATACGATGACCTTCTAGATCAAACGGAAAGTCTAGAAAACTTAAATCGTATCTTCGACTTTTTAATTTGGGTCGAGATTTCATTTTCAAATTTTCTAGTTTCAAATCCCGAACACGTTTAAGCGGATTTCCTTCCGCTTTTTTGACGAATATTTCTTTGTTTCTTTTAATTCTCGAAAGCAAGGCGCAAACCAAAACCGGGCAGTTGGTACCACTGGGTTCATGCTTGTCACTAAAACCATTCCTGATCGTGCTGTTAGACATTTTCCTCATGAAAAAAATGTTCTTGTTGTCAAAAAATGATTCCAAATGATCTTTCTCGATCGCTTCACCCGAGAGGGTCGTCCCTTGAGACGTCTTATCGTCTTTATGCCTTTCAAAATCATTCTCACTCTGACATGATTTGTCAAAAAAACAAGTCAGTTCTTGTATCTTGTCCTGCCTTTTGTTTTTCAAATTGTTTTTTCTGAAATAAGAGGGTTGAGAAGAGTACGAGTTGAAAGCACACCACACAGGAGACTTACCTTAACAAATTATAGTTTGGCCAAACCCAATCATAATCGACTGTCGTTTTATCAGTGATCCTAGAATTTTTTAATTACTAACTTAATTAGAGAATAATAAATAGATAATAATAAATAGAGAATAATAAATAAATTAATAACTTAATTAGAGAATAATAAATATTGTTTTAAAAAAATGCTTGAAAATAATTAAATACATTATTATTTATTGCTAATTAGATTATTTAAAACATTTAAAACTTTATAATTCCATGAAAAACCACACTACACCAGCCTAATTGCAATCACAAAAATGAAATCAACCATGCTTAAAAATTGGATGACAAAGGGGTCACTAACGTCCAATAAAAATAAGGATAATTGACAAAAAAAATATATTGCACTTTATAAACACATTATAAAAAAATACAGGTATTTTCTTACAAATAAAATTAATCTATGGTTACAAAAACAAATTACTATAAAACAAATTCATACTCCTAATCACAAAAAAGTTTTAGGAAATAAAAAAGGGGTGTCGGTGGCTGCAACGGTTTAGGCATTGAAACGGTTTTTGGTTCGAATCCTACGGCCTTGCATTTGAACCCGTCATACTTACAAATCGACTTTTTTTTTTAAAAATCGGCACGCCGAAGGTTGATATGACCTATGCTGTTGCGAACCCTCGTAAAAAATAGAAATATAAAATAAAAAAGGTTATAAATGATAAAACAAATCACCATAAACAATTTTTAATTATGAAGCCAATCTCACAAAAAATACTTAACAATTATTTATAAATAAAAAACCTTTAATCAATTTTATTCCAAATTTGGGTGTTAAAATTAAAAATAAAATAAAATATTTGACTCAGACCTTATAGTTCTTAGATCTAAATCTATTCCAATTCCCTTCGTGTTGAGCCTAATTAGTTTTGAAGAACTTGAAAAAGAAATATTGTTTTGAAACCTCAGTGATACAAAATCATTTTCGATAATTATCGAACAAACTGGATACTTAAATTGATTTCAAATTATATCATTCTTCCCCTTCTTCCTTTTTTAAATTTATCTTTTTCACTGTGGATATTAACATTATATTTTAAAAACTCATTTATTATACTATCTTTTGTTATAGACTGTAGACCCATTTCTTTATCTTTATTTCTTAGAAAAAATAGTGAAAAACGTATAAAAAATAGAGAAATTATTTTTTTTTGCAATAATAATATAATTTCTGATATTAAGTTTGTTTTTTCTTTCTAGAAAATCAGCATAACAAGCCTTATTTGAAGGTAGGAAGGTATTTGAATCTACTGACGATACAATACCATCAAAAGCAGTTTAAAATTGGCACTTCTCTTAATCTTTATTATATATATGANTTCTATATTATAGATTCTTTCAGTATATCTTTCTGATAGGGCTCAGAAAATTAAAATTAGATTTTGATCTAGTGCAATATCATCAATAAAATAAGTGGTACTAAATGGCACAATTACACAGAAGACAAACACTTTGAGCCCTGAAGATGATCTCAATAAAGATCGAAACGTTGGCTCGATAAAGAAAATGTTTTTCTGAAACTTACATCACACCAGACCGCATCTCACGATTTCTGAATAATTATCTATTAACGGTCACTAATCACCACACATTTAGAAAAATCTTTAGTTACGCTGATGGCAAATGGCATTATTATACTTTATTCGGCAAAAAGTTTAAATGAAATTACTAACTCTATTAATGAAGAATTTTTGTACATAAAAGATCAGGTTGATAAAAATTCTTTGGCTTAAATTTAGAAAAAAATAACGTTATATCCTTTATATTAAAAAAAATCAAACTAGCTTAAAATTATTTTATATTCGCTCAGAAATATTTTAAATTTTTCTTGCAAACCTCTTCGTTTTGGAACTACTTAGGGGTATAAATAAAGCAACATTTCAACTTTAACTTTCAGATCGATACATTGTTAAAGAGAATCTGAACACCTTTTTACAAATTTTGAATTATAAGAATGATACCTTTATTTATTATAAATCAGTTCATTTTGTCTTAGAAATTATTATTGTTATTTGAATTTATAACTAGATTATCAACTTACCTAAAACTTACTTTACTTTTATAAATTTACTTACTGATCTTCTTTTCTTTTGAACAAAAACGATATTTCTTTATCTTCCAAATTGCTGTGAAAAACTCGTCGTTAGGTAGATTTATTTCAAATACAGAAAATCGTTGTTTACCTGAAGGGCTCGCGTAATTGGGGCTTAGCAGGAAAGCAGGGCATAAGGAAAAGATAAATATCTAAAATTATAATGATTTCAGGGATCATTTTTCTCCCTGATGTCATACCCTTATTTAATTGTGATCGGCATTTGTCGATAAACTGCAATACTTGGTGAACTCCATTTCCCCCAGGGGTTTCTTTAAATTTTAGTGAATATTATAAAAACATATGTCAGTTATTTTTTATCGTTCAACATTAATTAAACGATTACAGAATGTCTTGTCAAAATTTTAACAATTTATTTTTTTTATCCCACCTTCTACTCATTGCAGGATTTGAGCCGGATTTGTCAAGCTTACAATTAGAGAAATCCGTTCGTACTGAACATTTAATCCAATTGTGACTTATTGTTGAAATTCTGTACATAAAACAGTATAAAGCAAAGAACCTCTCAAAACTTGTGAAATTATCATACTGAAGTACTGTAGGAATTATGTACATATATAATTGCCGTACTTGTGATCCTGCAGCTTAGAGTACTAAATGTTACTAAAACAACACAACTAGTAAATTCTGAAAATTTGTATTATCACATTTTATATATATATATATATAATATTTCTAATTTTCTTTTTGAACACTGCCTTTAATCGATTTAAAAAAGTTAACGTTACAGAAATGATAAATTAACCGTTAAAAACGTTTAAAACATATGTTTTAGGTCTAATTTTTTATGCATTTTGGTCAGAATGTTTCTTTTTAAATTTCAATCTGAATTTTACACGTTTCCCTGAATTTATCGTCGCCAGATGAATATTGAAGAGTTGCGGTTCAAAATGATGTTAACAGTAAGTTTAACAGATTTGCTAAAAATTAGCCTTTGAGAGGAGAACTTCATTTTGATGTTATGTTTCCTAATTGCAGAAAGATTTTTCCATATACCAGCCGGATATAATAGACATCTACCTACTTCTGCCGATACTCGGTGTCAGCCTCACGTTCTCCACGTTCTTCTGGAAGTCGTTGTACATTCTCCTCAAATACTACAACAAATACCCGCAGGATGTCGTTCTACACATATGCTCCCTTCTCCACACCATGCTGTGCGTCGGGGCAATTTGTTTCTTTGGAGACATACACCGGAACGTCCTGCAGACGTCGATATTGAACACGTGGACCCAGAACTCCATTCTTATATTTTCTATAGGGTTTTTCATACACGATTTCGTCTATTGGGAATACGAGGACCACAGGGATATAGTAATGCTGTTACATCACGTTGCGTCTGTGATTAGTCTCTTGTACCCGCTCATCACGGGGACTCACGCCGCAGTCTGCTTCGTTTTCATGTGGACGTACGAATCCTCCAACGTCTACTTGCATTTTAGGTATTTAATGAAGAGGTACGGCTTCAATAAGAAAAACGAGAGGCTGTTCAATTTGAACGAGATGTGCTTCGTCATCGCATTTGTAACGCAGAGATTCTTCATCGGTGCTCATTTCACTTATCTTTTGTTAGTGGATCAAAAGGTATCGAACGAGTTTATAAAAGTGATGGCCATCATCTTGAATATATTGAGTCTAGCGTTTTATGACGCCATTTACATAATGGTCCGGCGAAAACACCCTGTTACAGGCTCATTGTAAGTACCAAAACTTTTTATCTTTATCGATTTATAAACAATTAAGGTTCTTTTGACAGTGAAAATTAGAGAAACTTTAAAATTAGAACATCTGTAATAACAACGGTAAAGGTTTTACCAACAAATGTCGTTCTACACTTTTTAGAAACTAGTTTGCTCTAAGTGACAGATTCTGTTATTCAAAATTATTATTTTATTCTTATATCGGTAATTAGTGGGGAACACGAAATAAGTTGGGAATAAAAGCTAGGATCTTAAAAAGAAACCAAAGAACTCACTTTGGGAAAAGATAGTTCCATTCACAGAAGTTTTAGGCAGCTATTCGGAATTCGAGTATTAAATACACACCATCAGGCAAAAAATCTCCCTCTTGAGACCCCTCTCTTGATTTGATCTGTTGGATTGGCTTGCAAATTCACTGCCAACGCGATTGAGCAGATGATTTTTTGTGCCGCTGGATTTTGAACGTGCGAAAAAACGCGGAGACGTGTTTGTTTCTTTAGCCTGATGATAAGTGTTACATGCCGAAATCCGAATAGCTGCCTAAAACCTTTTTGAGTAGCACTATCCTTTACAAAAAGTGAACTACATTTTTGTAACTACCATATATGTAAAAAAGTTTTTTTTTATTACAAAAAATATGTTTAAAATCTTTTCATTTCACTACATTTGATTAATTAATGTGTATGGGGTGCAATTGGAATGAAAGGTAGAAAGAGAGAGAGAGAGAGAGAGAGAGAGAGAGAGAGAGAGAGAGAGAGAGAGAGAGNAGAACGAGAGAGAAAGAAAGAAAGAGAGAGAGAAAGAAAGAGAGAGAGAGAGAAAGAGAGAGAGAGAGAGAGAAAGAAAGAGAGAGAAAGAAAGAAAGAAAGAGAGAGAGAGAGAGAGAGAGAGAGAGAAAGAGAGAGAGAGAGAGAGTGAGAGAGGGAGAGAGAGCGAGGACAGGCCTGGAAATAGAGAACTGACCCAGGTCATGGCCGGACGTGGCTGGAACGGAGAATATTTCCACTGATTTGACATTTAGGTACGCCAACATGTTTCTGCAAAAACCAGGACAGTCAAAGATGGAATCACCTCATCAACCATTGTGAAAAGTAAGAAAAGGGTAGATCTGCATTAATAAAAAGCGTTCTACTCTGGGGGAACCGATGGCCCCAAAATGAAAACGTTAATGACGTTAATAAAACAACACCTTGAAGTATTCTTTAAATTTATTAAGTGCATCAATTTTGGAAAATTATAAGTTTAATCAATTGTTTTCTGTTTATTGTGACACTAATTGTTAATTATGTAATACTTCCACACACACAGAACAAAAAAATAAAAAACTAAATCCAATACAATTGTGCAAAACATGTAATCATGAAATGGAAGCATATCAAATATATCNGTGAGAGAGAGAGAGGGTTCATTAATAAATGATTATCTGAAATCATGTTTATGTGTTTATGCACTACTTAATGAAAATACATTTATTTTCTTTCTTCTACTACTTAATAAATAAACTGGTAATACTTCCTAACATAGGTTGTTAGTTATTTTAGTACACAATTATTTTTTATCCCATACATTTGAATCGCTATGCATTTCGAGCAATGTCCTTCGTTCACCTTCAAACCTTTTTATTTAAAGTCATAAATATTCAATTTTATTAAAACAGTTAGAAATCAATCTTAACTATGTGAATAAAAAAGAAGCATTTACGGATTATAAAAATGTAGGATTGAAGAGGGACCCCCCAAATGGTGGCCCAAAAGGCTTGGCGATTGAAATTCCTGGCATAAGAATAATTGGTGTTTTAGTGAACAAAAATAACCAAAACTTAGATTATAGAATATTTTACCACCAAATTAACTTAATAAAAAAATATAAATACTTTCTACAAATGAAGTTGTTTTAGACGATGTTATCATAAGTCAAAGTGAGCAATTGTTTTTAAATAAAAATGCTGATGCTGTTTTTAAATCACCTAGAGATAAACCAAGAGATAAATGTCCTCCAGTCTGATTACATCCCTGTTCATCCTTGAAGTTAATCAATTTTTTGTTTTGTGTTTTCAATTTGCATAAAATGTATCAATCCAATAAAAATAAACATTGCGTACATTGTTTTTAATTATCTATTTTGTTTAAGAGATGTAAAGTTTTTAAAAATCAGGGAAACAATCTCTCTGTGGACTGGATTTTTAATTTATTTACAGTTTTGTTATCTCTAAGTAACTGTTTGTCAATCTTGCTAACTAATTTTTTGTTTTCAGAGTTGCAAAACTGCTAGGAAGGTATGTTTGGCCATATTTTTTTCTGATTACGCTTAACATAATATATTTCTTTTTTAAATTTTAGTGACCTCTATTAAGAGTTTATAAAATGAGATAATTGTGGTTATTACGAAGGCTGTGTTAACACATCTGAGACACTCCCACACGCAATTAAATTTGAAAAAATTCACAACAATCCACAACCAAATAAAATTGTTCGTTAAATAAAACCTTATTCGCTTACGGGGAATGGCTCAGAAAAGAAGTATCAAATGGGGTGTAGTAGGCAATCAATTTTCCTTTGAAAAAAGAAGGGGTTTGTATCAAAGTAAAGGATCAAACGATCAGTGAAATTCAATGCCGATACGGATCTACAAGAAAAGAGCATAACCTTCTGCGCCGGAGAAAAAGGTTTTATTTGTTTATTGAAGTTCATACAGGATCAAAACGTACATAGAAATCACAGGCACAACAGCATCAAATATAAGTAAACAAGACTTTTTACGAATATATATTCCCGATGTTCAAATTTCAAAAGTAATCTCTATATTTTTTGATCCTTTATGGAATTTATTAAAGCAAAAAAATACTCGACTAATTCAACCATATTATAAGAAAGTTAGAAGGTAGATATAAAAAATTTTATGTTTCATAAAGAAAAAACTTAATCAGCAGTATCAGATTTTTTGCCCACGAACAATGTAACGGACAACAGTTTACCTTTAATTATAAAATAAATAAACGAGGGGTTTTTTGCGATGAAGACCTAGATGCTTGTTTTTCTCAACAATAAAAAATGATAGCATAAATCCGTTGGAAAAATAGTTGTCGGAATGGGGGGAGAGGAGCTTTCAACCGCACGCTACAGCACTGTTTTACAGCTAAATAGTGTAGATTTTCAGAGCAGAGTAAAACCAAGAAATACAGATTTTAGAAAATTTGAAATATATTTTTCTTACTGAAATATAATGTTTGGTTCGTTTGTTTTATTATGATACAGTTCATAAATAATTCGTATTGATAATCCTATCTTCGTACATACTTATTATTCTTATTATTTTAACTAATTACAAACTTTTGTAGTATACTTTTATTTTATATTGATTTTAATGCAAAGAAGTTTGAGATGAAAAATTAGTGTCACGAGCGGGACGACTTCCGGATTAGTACTCGGGGGCTATACCTCCTGAGCTATCATTTTGCTCCCCAAGACACCAACTCATCATCTCAACCGACAACTATTTAAATTTCCTCCGGTTTTTAGTTAAAAAATTTTTGTTTAAATTCCAATTGAGGCATTTCTCCGTGTAGCCTTCGAGGTTGAGAATTAGTCATTTGAATGGTGTCGATTATTATGGTCTACCTATCCTCGCTGGTTTGTCTATCAGACGCGTTTCGGCATTTCGCCATCTTAGTGTTTGGTCGGGGTTATTTTTGCCATTTAAACTTCATGAGACACCGATGATGACCGAAACGCTCTGAAAGACGAAAATGGTCACTTATCGTAAACTTACAGTAAGTTGCATATATTCACATAGATTCTAAGATATTTGTGTGTGTTTGTGTGTGTGTGTGTGTGTATGTGTGTGAGAGAGAGATGTGAGTGAGTGAGTGAGTGAGTGAGAGAGAGATTAGATGTTTCTAAAAATATTAAAAAGTCAAACATGAGCAGATATTCATAATAAAGAGAAAAATGTGCAGACTGTGAGCAATGAAATAATTAAATTTGTAAGATTTAAGAGTGTTGATTAATTTTTTTTACCTATTTTTTAAATTTTTTTGCAATTTAAACGATAGAACAATAATATAGGGAGATTCTCTCTCAATCTCTCTCTTTCTTTCTCTCTCTCTCTCTCTCTCTCTCTCTCTCCCTCCTTTCTTTCTTTTTCTGTGAGAAAGTGAAATAGAGAGAGATACAATGAGAACGAGTGAGTAATTGTGAAAGAGAAATACAGTAAAAAAATGTGAACGCAAAGTGCAATAGAGTAATCAAGCCAGGAATATATAAGCGTGTTGGTTAATTTTTTCTGATATATTTTTTTAATAATAATTTGCACGTTTTTTTAAACAGACACGATAATAATTGGCACAAATCCCATGTTTTTAGATTTCAAACATGAAATGTTATTGATAAATAGCAAACCAAATGAACTTTTTGCCATGACTTTGTCATTTTTTGACCAATTTAAAATCCAATGGCACCATTATTTTACGGGTAAAACGTCCTTTAAAATGATGTGTCAGGATGTGTAGGGTCGTCTTTGCAATTTTGAAGTTAAACTGGGCCCGAAGTATCCTATATAATTTTTCTATAAAAAAAAATAAAAATTTGAAACTAGACTAAACAATATATCAAATTAATAATTGGCCGAAATCCAATGGTTTTAGATTACGGCCGTAATATTTCAAATGGAGAAATTTAAAAATTCTCCAATACGTTCAATCAAAAAATTACTTTTTAATTGATGTTGATAGTTGTAATATTCTTAAAGTTTTTTAATTCATACATTACGAATCCATCAGTATATCTTTATATGGTTCTAACTTAAATTGAATAATTATTCAACGTTTAACAAACGTTTGTGTTTATTAAAAATACAGCCACAATTTATATAATTATTATTCAGAAATCGTGAGATGCGGTCTGGAGTGATGTAGGTTTCAGAAAAACATTTTCTTTATCGTGCCAACGTTTCGATCTTTATAAGAGATCATCTTCAGGGCTCAAAGTGTTTGTCTTCTGTGTAATTGTGCCATTCTTGCGTGTCGTGTTGAGAGGCCTGATTAAAAAGTGAATTTAAATTCATCCTTACATTATATACAAAGATATCACATGAATTACAGAAATGATTCTGAATAAAATTGCTTGCTCTACAGGCCTTTATTAAGAATACTGTCATATGTCTATATAGACATAAATACAAATTTATAGATAAATGGAACATATTCAATGATACATATATAATATCGTTTCACATGAGGTTGAATTAAAAGAAAATTAAGCTAAAATACAAAAAAAACAAAAAAAAAAACAACAACTGTAAAGCCTGTAAAACAACCAATGCCAAGAAACATCCTCGAACAAAAGATACACTCCTCAAATAAAGTGAAACATTACCATTAATTAAATATTACTAAAAGAACTTTAGACATGCATTAATTATATTAATCGTGGGAAGATCAAAGTAACAGTTTAAGAACCTGTTAGGTTGAATCCTAAATACACTTCTAGATTGCGCATTGATCTTTGATTTTTTTGTAGCTTTTAATGTAACTGGTTCGATTGTAATATAGGGAGATAAAACATCAAATTGTAAATTTCATATCTGAGAAATGAAATATATAAACTATTTATTAATACATTTTTTAATATTTTTTTCTAAAGAAGGTTCTCAAGCAGAATAGTAGGACTATCACGTCCGAAGAGGTTCAATGACTCCCATGCATGAAACCAACTACTGTACCGTTCTTATTTTTATTTTTATTTTTACAGTCCAATTTATGTTTTTTCATTCATAATATATTTAATAGAGCAGTTGTTAAAATCAGTACAATAAACAGTATGTGGCTTTTTGGATAGGGTCTGATGTTTTGACCTTCGTATATAACCAATCATTTTATTTTGTATGAATCTACCTTTATGTGATGGACCCTCTGGCTCAAAATGTTTTTTTTTTCTTTTTTTTTTACTTTAGGAGACACTAATAAGGTGGACTCAAATCTAACGAATTAGTAATTATTCAGAAATCGTGAGATGCGGTCTGGTGTGAAGTGGGTTTCTAAAACACACCAGACCGCATCTTACGATTTCTGAATAATTATCGATTAACGGTCACTAATCATCGCACATTTATATAATTATGTTTATTTTTAATTGATATTTTAATTTTTCATAAAACAGTAAACTATATTATCTCGGTTGTAATAGTTATGCGTTGTAATTCTTTTTCTTTATATAATTTGAAAGTTGTATAATTAATTTTTAAATATGGTTTTAAGCTTTTTGAACTAATGAATATTTTGACAAATTATCGTTGCAGGGGAAATATTGTGGTGTCCACTATCAATGTCTTAATTAAACACATTTTGATTATAAAGGACGACTTTGGTATACACTTAATAAACATTTGCACAAAGTTCATTTAGTCATGTTTAAATTTATTATGTTGCACCAGTAGAAAATTGGTTGCTTCGTCGATAAGCTATGTCGTGTTACGACGTTAATTGGAAATTCCAACGTCCGTACTTTTTCCATCGGTTGATTTATTTTTAAATTAAAAGACGACATTTTGGTTTTACCTCTCATTGATTCTATTTGAATTAATTTATTTAATTAGAGAGCTAGTTAATTCTAAGTTATTACTTTTCTGAACGGGGCGGAGGGGGAGTAAATTAAATGTGCAAGCTTTCCTCTCTGACAGTTCCACATTGTGTAATGTTTTGTCAATGTTGAAAAGGCTTGTTCGTATTATTACGACATTAATATTCCTGTTTTGTTTTTGAAGTTTCCCTATTATATTCTGGGCATATATTCCATTCGCGAATAATTTGATTTTTTTCTCGAGTAAACCGTGACAATCCGTACGTCCCGCGCCTTGTTAATTTTCTTGAGAGGAAGCCCAGCTTTTTTTTGATAAAGGATTGTCGATTTTTACTCGTCTTTCGCCGCAAAACTTGCAACAGCCGGTTATTATTCTCGCATTTGTACTTGTTTCGCGGTATTTGTGTATGTCTAACGCAGGCTGCTTTTATCAAATCCCGGGAAACTAGGGAGGGTACAGTGCGCGTCACTGAGTGTTTCCCTCCTAATGATGATCGTTTAGTCTTCCTACTCCACAAAAATTGTCAAACTATGCATATAAATTATGTTTTGTAAAACTATTCCATCATAAACGATTTCGATGGGAATTTAAAAACTGGATAAAATATAGGAAAACGTTGTAGAGGTGATTATTATTTGGTGATCGTGAGATGCGGTCTGGTGTAACGTAGGTTAAGAAAAACATTTTCTTTATCGTGCCAACATTTCGATCTTTATTGAGATCATGATATGCGGTCTGGTGAGACGTAAGTCAAGAAAAACATTTTCTTTATCGTCCCAACGTTTCGATCTTTATTGAGATCATCTTCAGGGCCTGGGATTTATAAACATTGTTTAAATATTACAAATACATGTAGGATGTGAAAAATGTGAATTTATACAAAGCTAGAATTTTTATACTTAATCAAAGTATTTGTACTCACTCAAAGTGTTTGGTTTCCGAGTAAATGTTCATTTTGTCTGTCGTGTTGAGATTGCCAGGGGTGGCAAAGGAAGTAAGAATAGAAAAACATTTTTCTATAAGGAGTCGGCTTCTTTGAGGTGCAGGGAGCCGACAAGAGGAAAAAATGGGTAACGATTCGGCCTGATTATCCTTTCAGGATTATATGGACGGGGATAATTAGGGAAATGACTGCTAAATTGTTGAAGAATTAGGCTATGCAGATATTACGGCAGACTTGTTTGTTACTGGTGTGGGATCTTTCATTTTGGAAAAAATTGTGTGATTAGTTTTATAGTTTTTGAAAGCTATTTAAAGTTATCAGAAGAGATAAATATGTTTAATTTATGTGATAGGCCGTGAATGAATGGCATGGAAATGTATGTTGGTTTGTCTGTATTTTATAAATTTGATGTAGTATTATTAGTAATAGCAGATGTTGTTATTGTAGAGTTGTGGTTGTTGATTATTCTGTTGATTAAGATCGTGGGTTCAAATCCCGCGCGTGACACTGACTTTTTTATCTTAACCAATACCTTTCATAAGTATTAATTAATTGAAATATGTTAATTGGTCAATCGGACCAGGAACTGTAATGGATTTAATAATTAAACTGAAGTATATCTTCACTAA